AAGAGTGCCAAGAAACCTTCAGGAACATGCATCTGAAGAAAACTGGTAGAGCCATCAGTGATTAGAAGACAGACCCAGATTACAAGCATTCTTGTGAAATGTAGGCCCCCAGGGACCCTTTAGGAGAGGAAACTACATAAGGGATGATCCCTCACTTCCGAAGGCCCCCACAGATTGCTGCCATTTGGTAAGCTGGTAAATTACAAGAGGCCCTTTAGCCCATGGCCTTTTTTCCACTGAACAGAAGGGAAAGTTTGTTTCCTACATGTGTCCCAAGGGAAAGTCACGGTTGCCGAGGAGTTGCGGGAGTTGGGTTTACAAAGCATGATAGTCTCAAATCCTTGACAGCCTCTACTAATCAGCTCCCCCACGCTGAGCAAATCTCTCTTGCTGGGGTCCAAATCTAGTCGAAAGAACATAAATACAGAGAAAAAGAATTTCCTCCTTTATCATAAAATGTTTCCCTTCCTCCCACACCACAAGCCAAGTCACCTTCAGTTGCAATTTTAACGCCAATGATCTGGCTTCGCAGTAAAATCAAATGCAGAAGGCTAAATGGCCCAGTGGGCTGGGCCACACCTACGTTCTCGCTTTAGCAGTGACTAAGGAACACAAAATTCTGTCAAGGAAGCAAGGTGGACTCCTGAAGGACAGCAAGTTTTGTCTTCAGCTGTCAGGCCATGACAGGGGCTACTTACATGGTTTCTGTCCTGGGACAGCAGCAATATCCTAAGGCTTTTCATGCTTGAGCTTCTATCCAAAATATCAATTGCTTTATCAAGATCATCTTGGTTCTTCAGAAGGATGGAGAGCTGTGACACAGGACACGGAAAAAGGAAATCACATAAAACATAAGTCTTTAGTTTGCAAAAATAAGCAAAATAAACAAAAAAATAAATTTGGAGGAAAACAATTTCAGTGGATACTATGGGGTCTTAAAAGATCTAATTGAAACCACAGAGATATTTTCTTTTCCTTTTTATTAAGTTTACAATTCAAAGATTTTTGGTAAATTTACAGAGTTGTGCAACCATCACCACAATTCAATTACAAAACATTTCCATTGCTCCAAAAAGATCTCCTGTGCCCATTCATAGTCACTCCCCTTTTCTACCTCTTACCCCAGGCCACCACTAATCTACTTTCTGTCTCTAGAGATTTGCATTTTCTGGACATTTCATATAAATGAAATCACACGATTCATATTCAATTCAATTCAATTCATAGCCTTTTGCATCTAGCTTCCTTCACTTTGCTTAACGTTTTTGAGTTCATCCATGCTGTAGCACATATCAGTACTTTATTTCAAGGTTATTTTTTTTTGATTGTATAAAAATATTTTTTAAAATATTTTCAGCTTTTTAAAAAATTTTTATTTGAGTATAGTGGCTTTACAATATTGTGTTAGTTTCTACTGTACAGCAAAGTGAAACAGCTATACGTATACATATATCCCCTCTTTTTTGGATTTCCTTCCCATTTAGGTCACCACAGAGCACTGAGTAGAGTTCCCTGAGCTATACAGTAGGTTCTCATTAGTTATTTATTTTATACATAGTATCAATAGTGTATATATGTCAATCCCAATCTCCCAATTCATCCCACCCCCACAAAATATTTTCTAAGAAAAGCTTCGTCTCTAAAAATACCCTTTACTCCAAAGCATCAAATCCGAAACAGTTATAGGCCCCATATTTCTTCCCAGATTAAGCAGTAGAATCATGTCCCATTCTACCCTGTGCTGACATTAACAGAATAAGCAGAAAAGGCATAGGAGGAGGAGGGGGCAGGCAGAGGATGAAAACGTTACTCAAATAAGAACACAAACTTAGACTGCATAGAAGGGTTTAGTATCTTAATGTATAAAAGGTTAAAAAAAAATCAGTGACTAGAACCAAAAACTACTTCCTCTGTTTTCATTCCACTGAAGTATTAAAGAGATGGTTCTTGAGGGTACAGATAAGCCCCACTCACTGTTAGAAGCAGAAGATATTATGAGTACTTAGTATTAAAAGATGCAAAACTATGCTTTGCCTAAGACCTAAAAAAGTCAGATCTTATGTATTTGTGGCAAACATACAGCAAAAATCCAATTAATTTCTTCAGTTCCCAATTCAGAATACAAGGAAATGAGAACTCTAAACCCCAGGCCAGGAAAAAACAAATAGTAAAAACAGTATTTAAAATAAAACCTCAAGACAACCCATGGAATGGGAGAAAATTTTACAAATCATATCATATTGTAAAAGAATTCCTTCCTGGGTAACACTCAAAGTAGGGATAAATAAGGACTGGTGTTGGGGGAGGCGGGGAAGGGGTGGGTGGAGACAGGGGAAGATAAAGAAATTACTGGAGTAGGTTTTAACTTAAAAAAAAAAAAAACTACAATTTTGCAACTATATGATAAGGGTCTAGTATCCAGACTATATAAAGAACTCTTACAATTCAACAACAAAAGGACAAACAATCCAATTTTTTAAAAGGGCAAAGGATTTGAATAGATATTTGTCCAAAGAAAATAAACAAATGGCTAATAAGCACATGAAAAGCTACTCAACATCATTAGTCATTAAGGAAATGAAAATTAAAAAACACAATAAGATACCACTTCACACCTACTAGGATGGCTATAATTTTTTTAAAAAAGAAAAAAAAAAAGAGAGAATCACAAGTATTGGTGATGATGTAGAGAAATTGCAACCCTTGTACATTGCTGGTAGAAATGTAAAGTGGTACCAGTTGATATGCAAAAGTTGGGCAGTTCCTCCAAAAGTTAAATACAGAGTTTCTACAAGAACCATCATTCCACTCAGGTATATTTTAGAGAATTGAAAACATTTGTTCATATAAAAATTTGTACACAAATGTTCATAGCAGCATTATTTATAATAGCCAAAAGTGAAAACAACTCTAGTGTCCATCAACAGGTGAATGGATATACAAAATGTGGTATATCCATATAATGGAATATTATTCAGCCATAAAAAGGAATGAAGTATGACACATGCTACAACACAGATGAGCCTTGAAAACATGCTTAGTGAAAGAAGCCAAACACAAAAGGCCACATATTGTGTGATTCCATATATATGAAATGTTCATAATAGGCAAATCCAGAGTGACAGAAAGTAAATAAGTGGTTGCCAGGGACTGGGGAGTGGGGAGAATGGGAAGTGACTCCTAAGAACTACAGGATTTCTCTTTGGGGTGATGAAAAAGTTTTGGAATCAGGTAGTGATGTTAGTTACACAACTCTGTGAATACACTAAAACCACTGAATTATACAGTTTAAAATGTAAATTTAAAAATAAAAGAGTAAATTCTATGGCAGGTGAATTATATCTCAATAAAGCTATTATTACAAAAATATAAACATAAATAAAATAAAATCTCAACAGATTTTTTCATTTGTCGTTCACAAATCCTGACAAGGTAGGGTTTAGAGGGCAAAGAAAAGAAAAATAGTTGAGACATTTGAAATTAATAAGATGTAAATAAATTAGTCAATTCTTGGTCACTGACATTAGCAGACTACGGAAAGACATGAATGATTTAAAATAGTAACAATTATGGGAGTTCCCTGGTGGCCTAGTGGTTAGGATTCCAGGCTTTCACTGCCATGGACCAGGTTCAATCCCTGGTCGGGGAACTGAGATCCTGCGAGCCGTGCAGCATGGCCAAAAAACAAAAACAAAAAACAACAAAAAACAAAGTGATGAAAAATAAATGCTCAAATAAATTAGTCTTCACTGACTCAAAAAATAATGACAATTACTTATATTTGGCTTTAAAAGCAATATCTGTATAAACATTTGAATAAAGAAATGCTCAACATTCTGGGCAGTCATTCCCTTGGCAAAAGAGTTTGAAAATGGATTTTGGGACATGTGAAATTCTTAATGGAGATATTAATGGAAAGAGAAACAAGTAGTACTAAATCATCCAGAAAAGTCTTTACTAACTAAAGAACACCTTCTTTAATGCTGATTGGCTAGCTGACTTTAGCCTCACTTTCTTATATAGTCACTGATGCTTGAGCTGCAATTTTTTAAACTTCTATGGATTTGACATTTGTATTTGGGGGCGGTTCTCATATCCTGTATTTAAAATGTGTTACTTTACATACTTTAAAATACTTACATCTGTGTTATTTATTAACTATAGAGTTAGTGGTTTATTTTTCAAATTTGTTGTATTTCTAAAATTTATCCAAAAAGCAAAAATCAGATGGTGTTATTTTTGTTAGCTATTTGGCAGTGCATATATCCAGTTGTGGTTGTACATTTTATATGAAGAGGACCACAGAGTTTTTGCCAACAAATCTCATCTCCTACAGATTTAAGCCCCAAAGTAGAGGAAATTCTTAACTTTTCAACCAATAAAATAAAACTACAAAGTAAGGGGACTTCCCTGATGCCGCAGTGGTTAAGAATCTGCCTGCCAATGCAGGGGACATGGGTTCAAGCCCTGGTCTGGGAAGATCCCACATGCCACGGAGCAACTAAGCCTGTGCGCCACAACTACTGAGCCTGTGCTCTGGAGCCTGCAAGCCACAACTGCTGAGCCCATGTGCCACAACTACTGAAGCCCGCGTGCCTAGAGCCCATGCTCTGCAACAAGAGAAGCCACTGCAATGACAAGACCACGCACCGCAACGAAGAGTAGCCCCTGCTCACCGAAATTAGAGAAAGACCACACAAATACTAAGACCCAACCCAGCCAAAAATAAATAAATTAAAATAAATAAATTTAATAAAAAAGAAAAACTACAAAGTAAGGACCTGACTCTCAAAGAGCCATGAGGTTGCCCAGCTTTCCTGTCTTGCCCCCCAACTCAGTTCCCTCAAGGTGCAGGCTCCTTACTGGGCACAAACACAGTGCCTTTCAGACTAATGCAAAGCACCAGCCTAAGCAGACTGCAGCCTCTAGTACGTTCCTTGGAGCTGGGAAAGCAGCCAAGTAACTGACATTCAAAAGAATTCCTTCCTGGGTGATGTTCAAAGTATGAATAAATAAAATGGCTGTTGGGCGGGGTTAGGAGGACTAAGAGTTAAAGAAATCATTAGAGTAGGTGCTAACGTTTGGAACCAGCTACAATCAGAAGTTAAACTCTGAGAGAAGAATCCAGCATTTATGCCTGTCAACAGAGGATCTACCCACCAGTTTTCCACACCTCCCCAGCCCTACTGAACCCTCTGCTACTAAGGCTGTGCTGGAAGGAAAAAGATAACCTACAAAATGTAAAGGAGACAATATAAGCCCTGACCCTAATCCCATACCTGATTCCACCATGGAGTATTAGAGCTACCAGCATTCAATGGGCAGAGGGAATGGACATAGCAATGTAACCTCCCATGTAATAAAAAAGAGAAATCGCAGAATTACTGGAATTAAGAAAAGAGGCTCCAGAAAATGAAAACCTGAAGATGACATTAAAGGAACAAACTAGGAAATCCTCAGTTAAACAGAGAGAAAAAAGGTAGGCAGCTGGGGCCTCCCTTGCCCGCACACCATCCATCTTTCGTACCTCATTGTTCACGTAATGTAGATCAAGAGGCTGCCCAAACACTGTCGTCACCTTGTGCTCCACATCTTCGTATCTTACAGGCCGGCTGAATGCTATAATTCTGAAAAGGAATAGAAATCATGGTTAACTGTACATTTTAAATGCAGGGTTTAGAAGCTATGGCTCCTGAGTGTTATCTTCCTTTTCTTTTCAACATAGAATTCTCTTTTTATTTTTCATGCAGCTTGCCTTTCTCTGTATTTTTTTCTTCTCTCACATCTACCTTTATCTTTTCACCCTTCTTCTGAGCATCTCTCAGGTTTGTCAATAGTACCTATGAGCAGTACTCAATCTCAGCCATTGTTCTTCCACTTCATCTCAGCTCTTTCGGTCAGTGACAGTGCAGTATCATAGGAGGATACCTGGATTTAAAAACTATGCTTCAAATATTCCTGTTAGGAAGAAAACCTGGGGATTGGAGCAGCAGTCCTGAAAACATGGTCTTAACTCCTATACACAACTCAACTCCAGGACTTGAAAGGTCTCTTCCATTGTTCATTTTCGAGATGCCACAGTAATCTCAATGCTGATTATCCTCAGAACTGACATTTCCTGCCATAGTCACAGGAATTCCCCTTGAGTTGGTTATATGCCTGATCAGTTTTTTCTTAACCAGTGACACACGTGTGCATGTAAGTAGTGTTGATATTGATGCTCTTCTAGAGAGACTCTCTAGGTCAGTTCAAAGAACAATTTCTATAAATAGATGGTAGAGTAAGAACATGTTCAAAGAGTTCTTAAAGTGATTTGTCATTAAATGTCACAGCAAAATTTACAAGTGGGGATAGATGAAACAAGGTTGGCAAAATGTTGATAATGTTGAAGCTGGGTGACAGGTCCTTGGGGGTTGAGTATCATATTCTATTTTTGTGTGTGCTTGAAATGTTTTTAATAAAAAGCTTTAATTAATGCATTAGGTTTAACTATATGATACTGGAGGTAGTCAACCATTTTTGCATATAAAAGTGGCAATTTTATATGGGACCAACCCAACACTCTAAAACTTAAATAATTAAAACAAAAATAAGCAAAGAGGGACTTCCCTGGTGGCGCAGTGGATAAGACTCCACACTCCCAATGCAGGGGGCCCGGGTTCGATCCCTGGTCAGGGAACTAGATCTCACATGCCTTTCGCAACTAAGAGTTCGCATGCCACAACTAAGGAGTCCATGTGCTGCAACTAAGGAGCCCATGAGCCACAACTAAGGAGCCCGCCTGCCACAACTAAGACCCCACACAACCAAATAAATAAATATTAAAAAAAATAAGCAAAGAGATAAACAGAAGAGAATATCAGAAACCCATATATATTATATATTTATACATACATATATATATGTATAAAGAAAATACAGGATTGAAAAAAATATTAGAGTAGGGAAGGTCTTCCTAAGCATTGCATAAAATAGAGAAGACAAAAAGGAAGAAGACAAGTTTGACAACAAAAATTTAAACTTCTGATGGGAAAATAAACCATCAACAAAGTTAAAAAGAGGGCTTCCCTGGTGGCGCAGTGGTTGAGAATCTGCCTGCTAATGCAGGGGACACGGGTTCGTGCCCTGGTCTGGGAGGATCCCACATGCCGCGGAGCAACTAGGCCCGTGAGCCACAACTACTTAGCCTGTGTATCTGGAGCCTGTGCTCTGCAACAAGAGAGGCCGCGATAGTGAGAGGCCCGCGCACCGCAATGAAGAGTCGCCCCCGCTTGCCACAACTAGAGAAAGCCCTTGCACAGAAACAAAGACCCAACACAGCAAAAATAAATAAATTAATTAATAAACTCCTACCCCCAACATCATCTTTAAAAAGAAAAAAAGTTAAAAAGAAATACCAAACTTGGAGAAAATACTTGCAAAAAATCAATAAGAAAAAGACAATCCAATAGAAACACAAGCAAAGGATATGAAGAATGGCTAATAAACACATGAAAAGATGCTTAATGTGATAGTGGAAAATGTATATTAAAACCACCTTAATCTGTTAGCATGTCTAGACTTAGATGAAATCTGACTAGTGTGTGGTGGACTAGCAGCACTCAGCCATCAGCCTCTATAGTTCTTGCCCTCCTCCATACTGACAGGAAGAAGTGTGTGGTTCTCTCATACACTCCCTGCTCCCCCAGACTGGGAAGTGGTATAACCAGAGGAAGAAGCAATAAGCCACAGGAAAGAGGGATCTAAGCCATTTTTTTAAAAATTTATTTTATTGAAGTATAGTTGATTTTATAACGTTATATTAATTTCTCCTGTATAGCAAAGTGATTCAGTTATACATATACATGCATTATTTTTCACATTCTTTTCCATTATGGTTTATCATAGGATATTGGATATAGTTCCCTGTGCTATACAGTAGGATCTTGTTTATCCATTCTATATATAATAGTTTGCACCTGCTAATCCCAAACTCCCAATCCATCCCTCCCCCACCCCCCTCCCCACTGGCAACCACAAGTCTGTTCTCTATGTCTGTGAGTCTGTTTCTGTTTCATAGACAAGTTCATTTGTGTCATATTTTAGATTCCACATATAAGTGATATCATATGGTATTTGTCTCTTTTTTTAAAAGAAATTTATTTATTTATTTATTTATTTATTTATTTATTTTTGGCTGTGTGGGTGCTTCGTTGCCGCATGCGGGCTTCTTCTAGTTGCGGTGATGAGGGGCTACTCTTCCTTGCAGTGCACGGGCTTCTCATTACGGTGGCTTCTCTTGTTGTGGAGCACGGGCTCCAGGAGTGCGGGCTTCAGTAGTTATGGCACATGGGCTCAGTAGTTGTGGCTCGCGGGCTCTAGAGTGCAGGCTCAGTAGTTGTGGCGCATGGGCTTAGTTGCTCTGTGGCATGTGGGATCTTCCCAGACCAGAGCTCAAACCCATGTCCCCTGCATTGGCAGGCGGATTCTTAACCACTGTACCACTAGGGAAGTCCTGTCTTTCTCCTTCTGACTTACTTCACTTAGTATGATAATCTTTAGTTCCATCCATGTTGCTGCAAATTGCATTATTTCGTTCTTTTTTATGGCTGAGTAGTATTCCATTGTATATATGTATCACATCCTCTTTATCCATTCATCTGTTGATGGACATTTAGGTTGTTTCCATTCTAGGCTATTGTAAATAGTGCTGCTATGAACATAGGGGTGCATGTATCTTTTTTTTTTTTTTTTTGCCGTACGCGGGCCTCTCACTGCTGTGGCCTCTCCCGTCGCAGAGCACAGGCTCCGGACGCACAGGCTCAGCGGCCATGGCTCACGGGCCCAGCCGCTTCACGGCATGTGGGATCTTCCTGGACCGGGGCACGAACCCGTGTCCCCTGCATTGGCAGGTGGACTCTCAACCACTGCGCCACCAGGGAAGCCCGCATGTATCTTTTGAATTATAGTTTTGTCTGGATATATGCCCAGGAGTGGGATTGCTGGATCATATGGCAACTTTACTTTTAGTTTTGTGAGGAATCTCCATACTGTTTTCCATAGTGGCTGCACCAATTTACATTCCCATCGACAGTGTAGGAGGGTTACCTTTTCTCCACACCCTTTCCAGCATTAGTTATTTGTAGACTTTGTAATGATGGCCATTCTGACCAGTGTGAGGTGATACCTCATTGCAGTTTTGATTTGCACTTCTTTAACAGTTAGCGACACTGAGCATCTTTTCATGTGCCTGCTGGCAACCTGTATGTCTTCTATGGAGAAATGTCTAACTAGGTCTTCTGCCCATTTTTCGATTGGGCTGTTTGTTTCTTTGTTATTGAGCTGTATGAGCTGTTTGTATATTTTGGAAATTAAGCCCTTGTCAGTTGCATCAATTTGCAAATATTTTCTCCCAGTCCATAGGATGTCTTTTCGTTTTGTTTATGGTTTCCTTTGCTGTGCAAAAGCCTGTAAGTTTGATTAGGTCTCATTTGTTTATTTTTGCTTTTATTTCTCTTGCCTTGGCAGACTAAGAAAACAGTATGATTTATGTCAGAGAATGTTTTGCCTATGTTCTCTTCTAGTCTTATGGTGTCATGTCTTATATTTAAGTCTTCAAGCCATTTTGAGTTTATTTTTGTGTATGGTGTAAGGGTGTGTTCTAACTTCATTGATTTACACGTGGCTGTCCAGCTTTCCCAACACCACTTGAAGAGACTCTCTTTTCTCCATTGTATATTCTTGCCTCCTTTGTCAAAGATTAATTGATGGTAGGTAATGTGGGTTTATTGCTGGGCTCTCTATTGTGTGTTCCATTGATCCAAATGTCTGTTTTTGTGCCAATACCATACTGTTTTGATTACTGTAGCTTTGTAGTATTGCCTGAAGTCTGGGAGGGGTATGCCTCTTGCTTTGTTCTTTTTCCTCAGGATTGCTTTGGCAATTCTTAGCCTTTTATGATTCCACATAAATTTTAGGATTATTTGTTCTAGTTCTGTGAAAAATGTCACAGGTAATTTGATAGGTAAGCGATTGGATTTTAATGAAATCTGGCTGGCTGAAATCAGTGGGCACTGTAAAAGCTGTTATCATCTAGAACTGCGCTGTTCAATATGGTAGCCACTAGCCACATGTGGCTATTTAAATTCAAATTAAATTTTAGAATTGGCTCTTTCAGTCCCACTAGCCACACTGCAAGTGCTCACTAGATACATGTGGCAAGTGCCTAGTATACTGGAGAACTCAGCTATAAGTCGGCCCTCCATATCCACAGGTCCATATCTGCAGATCAAAAATATCTGAAAAAAATTCCAGAGAGTTCCAAAAAGCAAAACTTGAATTTGCCACATGCTGGCAACTATTTACATGGCATTTACATTGTATTAGGTATTATAAGTAATCTAGAGATGATTTAAAGTATACACGAAGATGTACATCGGTTATATGCAAAGACTGCACCATTTTACATAAGAGACTTGACCATCCAAGGAGTTTGGTATCTACAGGGGGTCCTGGAACCAATTCCCTCGGCTACCAAGGGATTACTGTAGAACCTTTCCATTACAGCAGAAATTTCTACTGAACAACATTGATAGGATATTACTATAAATCATAATCTATCCTTCACACAAAGCATAACATCTCAGGAAGATAATTTCTCTATAACTTTTCCTTTATCCATCACTACCTTTCATTTTTGGAAATTATACTGCTGAATGTATTAGTTTATATCCACCAGGAAATCCATCCATGTTGTAATCCTTATTTTTCCCTCAAATCAACTGTCCCAAGCAATAATTAGGTGCGATCTAGATATGGGTTATCTAGATACGAGTGTTTTCTGGATTCTTTTGAGAGAATACCTTTCTATTAATTCAAAAGGGGCCAGCCTTTTTTTTTTTTAAATCAATTTTAAAAATTTATTTATTTTTTTGGCTGCGTTGGGTCTTCGTTGCTGCGTGTGGGCTTTCTCTAGCTGTGGCAAGCAGGGGCTACTCTTCCTTGCGGTGCACAGGCTTCTCATTGCGGTGGCTTCTCTTGCTGTGGAGCATGGCTCCAGACCTACGGGCTTCAGTAGTTGCGGCATGTGGGCTCAGCAGTTGTGACTTGCAGGCTCAGCCGTTGTGGCTCCCAGGCTCTAGAGCGCAGGCTCAGTAGTTGTGGCACACAGGCTTAGTTGCTCTGCAGCATGTGGGATCTTCCTGGACCAGGGATCGAACCCATGTCCCGTGCCTTGGCAGGCAGATTCTTAACCACTGCACCACCAGGGAAGTCCCCGGGGCCAGCCTTTCTGAATAAAATACCAGGAGATCACTCAGACGTCTCTAGCACAGTTAGAAAAACATCAGGCTCAGAGACAAATTTTCCTGCATTTGGCCTGGTGATGAGCCATTCAAAACCCCCAAAAGCAGCCCAAAAGTCTGGTCAAGATCAGAAACCAGCACTCCCAGGTTTGGTAAGATCTAAGCTGCTGCTACCACCTTGAATAACAGACATTTTTAGGCCAGTACTTCAAAGAGGGGTCTAACACCCAGGACAACCATCCCCACCACTGTTCAGACATGAAGGGAAGGAGATCCTAATCTACAGTCCTCTTCTGCCCTCCTGAGGCTAAGAGGGAGGAAGGGTAGAAGTCTGAGGCCCACCCTTCTAAAGCAAAGGGAAAGTCAGCCCACCAGAATGGACTGCTGGCAATGACGAATGGGAAAAGTCACTACTTCTTTCCTCTTTTCTGTAAATCCTTATTCTATAAGGGCCTACAACATTTAGGTACATACTGTCCATATTCCCTGTAAAAAGTAAAGAAAGCCCACAATAACAGTTTCTACAAAATCCTAAGACGTGAAATACACGAAACCAGAGCTGTCTGGCACAGAGCAGCTTGAACTTGGCTTCCCCGCACCAACTTTATAATGTCTTCAATTCCACACACAGTACACAAACAGTGAAATGCCATGGCTCCTGAAAACAGCTCCATAAAAAGAGAATGCAGTTTTCAAAACCTTGATACCAACACTGCCGCTCAGGGCTTCAAAAGCCTGACCACCTTAAATATTTGTGGTTTCGATCTGGCAGCATCTCTGAAACTAAACACATACACTTTCTCAGTGTAAGTCCGCTCACTATAACTGCATACCACTTAGGGAACAGGAATTCAGGAAAGCGTACTGTGTAATTAGGCTCCAACACAACTGAGCTTTTGATTTCCTATCTTCATACTTCTGAAAACTCTCTGCTGCTCCAAGTTTGGCTATCCCTCCAAAACCCAGTCAGGTCAGAAGTGTGAAAAGGAGCAAAAATGAAGTGACAATTTAAGTTCCATGCTACTGGCAGGTCATAGGACAAACAGCTGGGGACAGAGCTCAGAAGACCTTCTTCCCTCTGGCCCTGGAACAGCCCTAGAATTTGCATGGCGGCAGCAGAACCCTGGCTCTGCAGACCACGCTTTGTACAAGGTTTCCATCCGGCAACCTCTGACAACCTTGCAGGCTTCCGAATGTATTTTTTTCAGGGAGAAGAGCAGCCAAAGATCTCCTCCGGAGCTAGTTTCAAATTGGGCTGAAAGATGCCAGCAGTACAGAACTACCAGTACAAGAGCATTTGAAGGCACTAAGGTCCTCTGGTGGGACTCCTAAAGTAGGTGGATCTTATCCTGATGGGTATGCTCTTTGCCCCTCCAAATGCTCAAAGCAAAGGAAAAAGGGCGGGGCAGTTATCAATGGGAGAGAAAGGCAAAGAGGGGGAAAACAGGTACTGAAAAGCTTGCTTGTGCGCATGCTTGTGCCACATACATGCACACACAGGGTCTCAAATATCCCCTGACCAGAGTTCTATATGCTTTCTTAAAGGTTTTCCTTAAAATAACTTGAGAAATTCAGTGGAGTCATTTTTCTCCACTGAGAACTTCTACCCTGACTTCTACAAAAAACTAAATACTGACAATGGAGAAAAGGATACGAGGGTTTTGTAACATTACTTTCACTTCCCTAACAAGGTAAAATACAGAATGCAGACTGAAAACTCCCTTTCTATGTCCTCAAATGAACTGAAATCTTTCACAACTGAGGGACTTGATGTAGCTTCCCATGACCTAGAGACATTTTAAACTTTTTTTTTCTTTTTCCGCTGAGTTGGGTCTTCATTGCTGCGCACGGGCTTCCTCTCGTTGTAGCGAGCAGGGCTTCTCTTCGTTGTGGCATGCGGGCTTCTCATTGCGGTGGCTTCTCTTGTTGCAGAGCACGGGCTCTAGGTGCGCAGGCTTCAGTAATTGCAGCTCACAGGCTCTAGAGCACAGGCTCAGCAGTTGTGGCGCACAGGCTTAGTTGCTCCGCAGCATGTGGGATCTTCCCAGACCAGGGCTCGAACCTGTGTCCTCTGCACTGGCAGGCGGATTCTTAACCACTGCGCCACCAGGGAGGTCCCAAGACATTTTAAAGAAAAACTTCCAATTCACCAACCTGACCCCTGATGTGGACAAAACCAGGGACACTCTACCAGGGATGGGAATGGCACCACGTAACAGGAGAATCCTCATCTCCCTCTGATGCCCATGGCTGGCACAGTGTCAGTGTGTCTGGAAGCCATGACTCAGTAGAGCTGGGGTCCTGACTTCCTCCCCTAGCACAATGGTGGATCTCACAGTAGCAAAATAAGAGCAGAAGAGTAAAACATTAGCAGTTGAAATGGCTTCCAATTTTAAGACCAGAAACAAGGTTCAATCAGTAGGCCAAACCAAGGGTGAAACTTTCCCCTTTATGCCCTATCAACCCCATTCCCCAGCCAGTGACCCCACAGGAATCACTCCAGGGCAACGGCTTCCACAAGCTGAACGCTTTCTAAGAAATGCAGCATACATGAACACAACCACTCATCAGAAGGCAGACTTACCGCCTCTCCCCGTTGTGCTCGAACTTGATTCTGACGTCACTCTGCCAAAGAAATGATAGACAGGTTAGTGGGTTCTCTGGCGTGTGTCACTCCTGCCCTTCCCAGGTAAGCCTCAGGCAGCCCTTTGGCAACCTTAGGCAGACATCCCTGATGGCTCCTGTTAGAGCTTCTCTACCCCGACAGGCATTCCTTTCAATGAGTTCTAACCTCAGTGGCAACAAAGCTCTTGGGACAAGATCCTTTGGTGGCTGCCCCAGCTCAGGTGCTCTGCTCTGACATATCATTTCTAAGTTCACACACACTCTATTTCCACAACTGGCTCTGGAGTTTCTCCCACTATATCACCACCTCCTGGCCAGCACACCATTCCTTCTGGGCTGATGTAACTAGACAGAAAAAGAAACCTTAATACTGATACTTCCCAGCTCTACGACCACAACCAAGTTACTTATCCTCTGTAAGTCTTAGTTTTTCCATCTGCAAAGTAGGGCTAAACATACCTAATTCACAGAGTTGCTATGAGAACTAAACGAGAAAATGTAAGTAAAATACCTAATACATAGTAGACATGCAATAAATGGTTGCTGCTGCTACTAATGATTTCCACAGTCCTTTCAAGGCTGCCCTCAGTGGGAGTAAAGTGGCACTCTGGACAAATACCTTATAATTGTCCCCAGCTCTAGCCTAAATGACCATCATGTGTACCCTATAAGCTCCAGGAGGACAGGGATCACGTCTCTCTCGTTTCTGTAGCTCCAGTGATAAGCAAAGGTAATAGTATATATCTGTGCTTACAATATTTATTAAACAGACTGACTGAAGAATAGAGTTGGGTGTAAGTGTCAGAAATTAAGACGAGGGAGGAGTGTTAGAATGTTAAGGAACAAATCAAGGAGGACGAGAGATACTGTAAAGGGCAAACAAACAACTTGAAGGAGTTAAAAATGACAGGAAAAGGGAGAAGTATTATAGAAGAAAAGAACAGGTACAGGGGGAAAAAGAAAACTAAGATAGTCAGGAAACCAACAACTAATAGAGGGGGAGGTAAGAAAGTTCATGGTCAATGAATGAAAATTACACTGAGATTGACAAATTAAAAAACTGTGGCTTGGAAGAAAGAAGAGGGTTTCAGAGTATCTGAAGATGAAGAACATAGAGCAGACAGAAAAGATGACAGAAAACGGAGAAAGCTGAAAGGTAGGGTGGGTGCACACAGGACTTCCTTTTCCCAAGAGACTGGGGGGCTAGAATTCCCTTCCAGTCAAATGAACTAGATTGGTGTTTCTAATTTACACTCTAAAAATTGAGGACCCCAAAAAGCTTTTGTTTATGTAGATTATATCTACTGATATTTGCCATGTTAGAAATTAAAATTGAGAAAATTTAAATTTTATTCATTTAAAAATAATTTTAAAACGTTATGTGTTAACATAAATACATTTTAATTAAAAAAACTTTAAAAAAGTGAAGTGAGAGAATGCCAGTCTCCTTAATGCATAGCTTAATAGGAGACAGCTGGATTCTCATATCAGTTTTTGCTTTCGAACTGCTGTGCTAATATGTATTGTGTAGCCTCTGGAAAACTCTACTGTACATTCTTAAGAGTATGAGGGTATAAAGGGCAAGGAACATCTTAGTACTATTATGAAAATAGATTTGACCTGATGGACCCTCGAAAGGTTCTTGAGAACTTCCTAGGGGTCCTAGAACACACCTTGAGAGTCAATGAATTAAAATATAAGAATACAGCCTCTAACTCACTATTTTAAAGACAGGGAAATGGAGGCTCAAAGAGCTTCATGACCCTGAAAAGCTCACATACTAAATAGTGGACAGCAAAGTTCCCCTGAGGAGCAGGCCTGCAATGTGACAACTTTTCAAAATACAGCCCTGATACAGTCCTTTCATCCTTTGATGTAACATATGGGCCACTTGATCCCATTACTAATATGACAATAGTGAACATTTACTGAGGATTTACTATATACTAAGCCTTGTTCTAAGCATGTTACATATATCAATTAAACTAACCCTCACAACAGGTACTATTATTGTGTCTACTTTACAGGAGAACCTAATTTACAATGAAGTTAAACAAGTTCTCTCAAGATTATAATGCTTTAAAAGAAGCCCAGATATGCTACAACTTAAGTGTCACACAGGCAAGGGAGGTTTATTTTACTCACAGATGCAGGGCTTCAATGGGAGCACTGAAAGAAGGAAACTATCAAAGGATCTTTTGAGACCTTTTCAGAACTCATGGAGAAGATGGAGTAATAACGGATCCAGCATCAGGAGACCAGGGTAGCGATCCTGCAGGAAGCTACGGGGCCTGGGGAACCAGTAGGGAAGGCTCTGGCTGAGGCTGTGCGTAGGTGGAGACAGAGGAGGTGGCATGGGAAGGCAGTGTGCCCCCTCTGGTGTGCATTCCAGGTGAGAGAGACCTGTGTGTGTATGTGTGCACATGCACGTATGAACATGAGCACACAAGCAGAAAGGTGAGGCACTGCTGCAGAGGAAGTTATCATGGGGCTTCAAGGTTTGCATGAGTGACAGCAGTGTTTTCACTGTCTTCTTTTTCTCCTTCCCCTGAACTACTAAGCAGTTCCCGTGGCAAGGTCTGCCGAAGCACAGTGCCTGCAACACGCTGCCGCATCTGACATGCTGTCTCCAGCTTCCCATGCTGTCTGGTTCCACAACTAGCTCTGGAGTATCCCAAGTGCTCACCGCAGTTTGCAGCCCTGTCTGTCCCTGCAGCTGGGTTACCACTCCTTTCACCTCCTCCTGCTCACAGCCCAGCACACCTTGGTGTAGCACTCATTATTATTATATTTTATTAATCGATTCTATTTTTAGAACAGCTTTAGAGTTACAGAAAAACTGAGCAGATAGAGCAGAGTGTCCATATACCCTTCTCCCCACTCCACCCCCAGTTTCCCCTATCAGTAACATAAGTATGGTACATTTCTTTTTGTTACAACTAATTAAACAATATTGATGTGCTAAATAAAGCCTATAGTTTATTCAGATTTCCCTTTTTTCCTGTTGATTATAAAAAAAATTTATTCCTCTGTTGATTTTTATCTAATTTTTTATAGTAATAAAAAACACATAACATAAAAACACATAACAATAGCTCTCATTCTAAACTGGGACATTATATTTAGATGCACCTATGAAGGAATCCCCTCTGTCCCTTTGTGGGACTGAAGGAACTAAATTTATTTCATGATGGGCCACAATCCAAACACTATTCTACTTGAATTTAGTGAGAAAGGGAATTAAACTTTTGCCTCAAACCACAAATCACTCCCACTCAAGACTAACCTAGCCTGTGATTAGTAAGCAGTGTAAACAAAGATGCCTAGCCTTCTGAATCCCTTGTCTGATGTGGCTACAGCCTTTCCAGAGCAGGATGCAGGCCCATGACTGGCTTCCATGTACCACATGGTGTGCCCAAATCTGCCAAGTTCCTAAATCTGAGTGACTCCTGTCAGGCTGATTAGAATAAGCCATGGATAAGAAAGTTCAGATAAAGCTAACTAGATTCAACTCCTTCCTGCCCACCATCCTCCTTGCCCCTCTGAGGCATTTCGCACTGGTAGCAGCGTCCTCTGTCATGAGGTTCTCTCCTCTTGCCTCTGTGACTCTATCCCAAGCCAGGGAACCTGCCACCACTCTAACCACTTCTGCTTTTTTGCTGGTTCCTCTTCCCCATGCCTTCTCACACCCCTCCCTCAACATGTAACTGTGCCTCAATGTTTGGACTTTTGGCCTCTGGATTTCTCTCCCTCTTCTCACGTCTTCTCCTCGGCAGGAATGAAAAAATCAGGCAACCTATAAATAGAAGATTCCCAAATCTCTATGTCCAGCCCCAATTTCTCAAGCGAAACCTCATCTGTCTGCCACAGATATAAGGCAGATAAGTCATTGTTAGGAATGCAGCACTAGAGTCAAACTGTCTGGCTTCAAATCCTGGCTCTGTAACCTCCTTGTTGTAACCTTGAACTAATCTCTCTGTGACTCAGTTTCCTCATCTGAAAAGTGAAAATAGTGACAGTATCTATCTCATGGAGTTATCAAAATAATTAAATGAAATAACCGGATAAAGATATGAGAAAAGTTCCTGACACATCATAAGTGCTCAAAAAATGGTAATACAGGTCCTTTATCCTTTAGCCAAAACCCTTGGGGCCGAAAGTGTCTCAGAAAGCACTTTTGGATTTAGAGAGGTAGTGGTATGTGTTCTGTATGTTAAGTGATGCCCCTCCAGGGGGAAGGTGTCTGGGCAGCACTCCATGGCAGAGCAGAACGCTCACAGGCATTCCGTGCACCCCTCTGCGCTGCTTAGCCTCTCCTGAAGTTAGTTTGGGATTTTGTAACTACTTCTGACCAGCAGCTGGGAACAAAGTTGAGTTCTACACTCTCTTCCCTGGCAGCCACATGTGCCAGGTCAATGGAGTCACCTTCAATCAGGGTCCTTAAGTGACTGTGGGGAACACTGTCCCCCCTTCCCTGTGCTGGCCATATCTGTACAGTCACTAAGATTTAGGGTTTACCTGTTAAGAGCAAAAGCTAGTTTTTGTATTGAAAAGTATGAATATTCACAGTTAGTCAAGTAAATAAAGACTGTAAATAGCCCTGTGTCCATTCAGGCCAAGTTTTGTTGCCAAATGAATTTGCTCTAAATTTAAAAATAGAGAAATAAATTTTTAAAAACACCTTTTAGTTTGCAGTACTCTTTGGATTTTAGAGTTGCAGATAAGGGATTGTGTACCTGCAAAAGCAATATACACACATACCTCTCAGAGTATTTCACTGCAGTCGCAAACTCAACCCAGCCATGTGTGTCTGCATCAACTACCCTCCCGAACTAGTCCCCCTTCTCAGTGTTGCCATCTCTAATACTGGCTACAGGCTCAAACCTCTGAGTTCTGCTTGATTCTTTCCTTCTTTTCCTTTTCTCACAGCCAGACAGCAAGTTCCAATTCTCCCCTCCGGGGACTCCAGTATGAGACTCTGCTTCCCATTCTCTCAGTTGTCGCTCTCGGAGCCCCTTTCCCCTCCTGAATTCCTGAAGCAGCCTCTGTACTTCTCAGCTCCCCCCTTCCAGCACATTCTACATTCCTCCACAGTTTCACTCATCTTAACCACCGCTTTCATCACATCCCTTCTTTGTTCAAAAAGTAATCAGTGATACCCATGACCTATGGAATAAAGTCTAAGTTCTTTACTGTCATTCAAAGCCCTCTGGAATTGAAGCTCACTGAGTTTACCTAATCATCTCACTGTTTGTTCTCAAAGGGAACCCTCTCTCCAGCCAGATCAATGCCCACCCTATTTCCTGAAATATGCCATATACATCCCTTCCCCTAGGTCTTTAATAATTCAGCTTCCCAACCTGGAGTGCCATACTTCCTCCTTTCCACCTAAATAAACTCTTATACATCCTTCACTGCCTGGTTCCAGTGCCACCTCCTCCAGAAATGACTCCATAACTCCTTCGGCCCAAGTTCATCTTTTACTTTCCTGGCCTCCTGTGGCTCTCAGTATCTGTACCATATATTTAGGCATAGTCACATAGTACCTTAGTTTCTTTCTTTTTTTTTTTTTTTACATATTTCTCATTTCTCATAAGACTGCATGATTCCTAGGATACAGGGAATATAACTTATATTTCTTTGTCTAAGAAGGTTGAGTATAGGCCCATGTTGAACTGAATGGAGAGGTGCCACAGCTGCTGAGAAAGAAGTGCCAGTACAAAAATTCAGATCTAGGCAGGTTCAAGTCCCCTGCCCACCAGAGCTAATTTGGTGAAAGGAAGAGTGAGAGCCATGCCCAGGAGAAGGACAGTGCAGGCCTCCAGGCTGAGCTACAGATTTGGGAACTAAGGGGGCAACAGGAGTAACCAACGACACCAAACTTAAGCAGACATGACCTTCTCAAAGTTTGAACTCAACAACTGGATATGTAACCCAAGAAGACTCCCAAGAATTCAAAAAAACCTTTATTAAACAAAGGCTTGTGAACCTCTGACCTGGCAGAGGCCCCGGCCAGCCCGTGTCTCCGGTGCCCTCTCTCTGACACTGCAGTGCTCCCCCTCCCTGTAGTTGCCATATACCTTTGGCTCCCACATCTCTGGCACTGGAGTCCCTACTTTGCCAAAGAAAGTAAATAAATGAGAAGAAAAGAGCAACAAAAATAATTTTATTTGTGTGACTCAGGAAAGTCCTAAGAGATCAGTGGAAGAGGTGATTATAAAGTAACCTTCTTCCCTGCCCTAATTCTTTCTATATCTCCAGTCCCAGCATTGTGCCTGGCATGCAGCAGGGGCTCAGTGAGTATCTGAATAAATCAATGATGAAATAGTGTATTAGTTATTTACTGCTAGTTAATAAACTATTACACACAAAAAAGGAAGCTTCTTACAAAATAGAATATGAGGCTTGTATATTGTATTATGTTTTATTTTCAAACTAGCCAGCCTATCTTATCAACAACCCATGAAAGAGAAAGGAAGTCCTGAAGAGTCAGGTCTATCACAGTAAAAGCAAAAGACAGTCTGCTCAATCACTGACCCTGCGGAGGAACAGCTCCTAGAATTCTCCTCCTCTGTAACTGATAGCCAAGAGCCTGCCCTTCTAGCGCCTGCTATGAAGAAAGCAACTTTTCCATTCTTAAGCACCCACTAGTGAACATCTGGAGGGTCAGACCCAGACCCTGGGCTCTGTTCAAGCCTCTACCTACCACCATGATAAGATTCAAGGGAAACAGGAATCCATGGTAAAAAGGATTCTATTTTTTCTTCTACTGGGACTTTCATATATCAGGTTAGCTTCATAAGTCTGCAAAGGACCATCTGATATATAGTAACGTCAATCCAACAAAGGTAGAAAACCTTAAACCTTTCAGTTCCATGACAATCTGCATACTTCTGGTTAGACGCTTTCACTAGCGCTCATACCCACAATGCCCAAACATTAACAGAAGTGATGTAGTCACTACCACTTTACACCCGTACCTTGTTTTACAATGTATAAAATCTTTTGTATTCTGTCTATGACCTTACAACAACTTTCAGAGGTAGACACTATGCCTGTATTTTCAGATGGAAAAACTGAGGTTTAAAAAGGTTATCAGACTTACACGTGGTAAAATTACTGTGACCGGGAGTCAGAAGATCTGGGTTTGCTTCCTGGCTCTACTTAATATCTTTGCATAAGCACTTTGTAAACTTTAAAGTATTATAAACATGCTTATAGTTTAGCTTATAGTTGTTGTTATTGCTGTTAACTGTTGTTGTTGGAAGCACTCTCCAAACTGTAAAATCCCATGTTAATGGATTATTAACAACTCAATGACTTCTGGGCCAGTGTTCCTTTCACTACACTAAGCTGTCACCCTCACCGAGAAATAGCACCTGTTGATAAAGCACTGTTAGTTGATGACTGCTAAAGGGTCTGCCCTTCATGGCCTATAAAACCATCCACATGTCCAAGAACATACAGCCAGCTCTAACTGGCTGTAGGCTTCCAGGGACCTAATGTCCAGGTGGGAGAATACAGAGAGCACAGATCCTAACTCTTAGCACAATAGTTGAATAACCAAGCACCTCATACCCCTGTACTTCCGTAGCTGCTCAGAATGCTTAGTTTTTCTCAAATGTATTCTCTTTTTCAATTAATTGCCTAGCTTGTTTACTCAGGGAAGAGGATATCTGAAGTCTTGCCAAGCAGAGGTATTAAATTATGATTTCCCGTTCTTCCAGGCCTCAGCCCCCAAACGATTCTGTCAGTGAACCCCCAGCTCCTGTGGCATTCCTTGCTGTGCCAAGTTTGAGCCCCATGAGGCTATGCCAATCTCAGCACTGCCATTCTCACTCTGAGGCGCTGCTTGCCTCTGCCAACATCATTCCATCCCTGAACAAACCACCTTTCCTGGTGGCCAAAACACTCGGGTACTTTCAACTGGGACTCTGCAATTTGAATCTTCAGCCCAATTTGACATTTCTTAGACCAATTTGGCATCTCTTAGCCATTTAAATTAGGTTTTGATCTTTCAGTCCTCTCTCCTCCTAAGCATGGACCTTCTGACAGAAGAATTGCTACTGGAGAAAACTGTTTAATCCTATCCTAGGCCCAAGCAAACAAAAACAAGAATTTTTAAAAAGGGAATTCACTGTGTAAACTGTAAAGTCCTATGTTAACAGATTATTAACATCTCAAGACTCAGGCTGGGCTCTTTTCATTACATTGAGCTGTAAACACTTCTCCCCCTAAATGTTCCCACCATCCCCATCTCACCCCATCCTTCCTTGGAAATGCAATCACTGAGCCTCTCTCTCTCCTGCTTTCACGATTTTGCTGAAGACTATTTCTCCTGGTCAGAAGCTGAACATCTGCTATACTTCCCAGGAGAGACCATTCTACAACCTTGACTTTATTAAGGGGGAAGCTATTTTGAGGTTTTCATTGCCCTTTTACCCAATATTAGCATAAAACTTTGAGCTTCAATTTCTAAACAGCCATGCTAGTCCCAAGCTTCATATTCCCCCCAGATCCCCATGCCCCCGGAATAGACTCTTAGCTGGGATTCCCACTGATGGGCTTATCACAATGCATAGAAACTCATGACCTGTGTGGTGGAACGAATGTACCAAGGAGATGTGCACATCTCTAAGCATGTACTTAATCTCTTGCCCAACAAATCAATAGTCCCTTTTATAATATATAAAGTTGTGCTATCCAAGACAATAGCCATTAGCCATATGTAGCTATTTAAATTTAAATTAATTAAAATTAAATAAAATTTTAAATTCAGTTCCTCCACTACACTGGTCAGTACAAATATAGAACATTTATATCATCACAGAAGTTTACTGGACAGCGTTGATAGAGGTTGCTTATGAATAATACTGTTGTGAGAAATGGTGACAGCACACAGGTAATGAGTAACCAGTGCTCCCTGCAAATCCACTAAAACAATTTGTCCAGGAAATGAATTCCACACTCTTCCAGCACTAGTAGATTTAAAAGCACATTTTAGCTTTAACGGGTAATTTTGTTCCTTACCAAAAATTTCTTTTTCTCACTGGCCCCTGCACATGAGCTTGTAGTTACTGTGGGGCTGTTCAGAAGGGCTGAGCTGCTGCTGTTGTGTTTTTTCTTTAAAAGCAAAAAAACTGAGGTTAATAATTTGTATCCTTCATGCAACAGAAAAAGTTTGACGATATTCAAGTAAACCGTGGGTCCAAAGAGCTAGTACCGCTTGTTAAGATTATTTCCTCTATACTAGTCAATCCTTTTCACAGGCTTCTACCTTCATAACCACTGCCTTCACCCCAATAACACAGCAGCAGGCATGGTAAAAGATCAGGATTTTTCCTATAATAGCTTTTAGGCCTAAACAGGATTCCTAAAAGGTAATCTCCCTTCAAGGAATGATCAGAGACTACTCCACCCCTCCTCTTCTCTGCAGTGTCCATTTAGGTCTTCCAACTCAAGAAAGCTTCCCCTTTTCACCTACTAACTGACATCCACGCTAATAGTCCCATTTGGAGAAAGATCAGCTGACTGGAGCAGCGTTAACAAGCACACTCTACATAGGAAGACAGGAAGGAAAGTGAGGTCATTAGGCTCAAGCCTGGGGGAGGGGATTCACTTCTGGTAAAATGCTCCTTCCAAAAGCAGCTTTGAATAGAAGTGAGTTACAGCAAGTGAGAACCCACACAATTAGAATAATGTATGAAGACAGTACAAGAATGGGCCCTATTCTGTTGTTCCCCTAGTTCTGTAAGGTACACACAAAAAATAAAAGCAGCTTTCTAAACTATTCCTTATGTTATAACTGAAACAAAAGGACTTCGGGTCCCTAGTTTTCCTAAAGGCAGTAAATACTCTGGGAGGCTATATCTAGCCAACCTCAGACTGAAAAAGTTCTAGCCCCTTATACTTTCTCCAGGAACCAAGAGCACTTCTGAAGAATTGGCAGACAAGGTGCAAATGAGGAGAGAGAAGATTAGCTGATAACGAAGAGAACCACAAGGAAGGATATCATCAAACACACCAAACTCAGCCATCTGATACCCACCAGGAAGGAAAGCTCCCCGTCACTCACTCCTCTCTGTGGGCCAAAGGGCCTAGGCAACAGGGAGGTCAGTGACACTGGAGGCAAGAAGAAGGTTCTCAACAGCGCACAACTTTAAATGTTAACAAAATAGAAGCTGTTTTCCTAAAGAAGCACACAACTCTCAATAAAAGAGGCACTCTCAACTACCTGAGTTAATGGGGGGAAACAACTGTAAAGAACAATAACAAAATCACTCATTGTTACTTTCAGAATATATATGATGTTTTATTAAATAAATTTCCCTTCCTAATTACATTTTAAATAAACCAATACTAAAATTAATTAATTTTTTCTGAGTATATACTGTAAGATAGCTAAAAAGTTTCTGAGTTAGGGATCGTGAATCTGGATAAAATATTTGCCAAATGATCAGTAAAGGAAAAAGTATATGAATACTGTCCCCATAATTAGTGAAGAAATTATTCTTACTCTCCACAGATGAAACAGTATTTACAAGGTGAGATGCACAAGGCATTGGGACTCCAGATCACAACGCACACCTGGTTAGTACATATCACTTACCATTTAACAGACTTAAGGGAAGGGACCAATAGCACTCAAGCCTGTATCAGAGTATCATTGGCTTCTCACATATTTCCCACCTGAAAACCCCTCCCCAACAAATTCAGTTAACAGCCATGGCCGCACACACCTGCCTATTTGGGTGACCCGTTTCTTTGTTCTTCATGGTCTCATATCCAGGCACCCGGGGACGTCGGCTCATCTGGAGGGCCACCAGATCCTTCATGATTGAGTTCAATGCCTCCTGTTCGTCTGCAAAGAAAGAGAGCACATGGGCTAAGGTACTTTAATACAGACCACAGAAGTACTTTCACAAATTATATAACTAATACTCAGGGAATTCTGCCCAGGTGAAATGAGAGACCCTGTAACTATAATCACATGAATTTGCTATCTGTGAAAAGTAGATAACTGAGGTCAGACTATGGCAATTTGAATTTTAATGGATTCTTAACAGCTCTCCAATCAGATTTCTGGCAGCAATATCTACTAATTCACTGGGGGCAAGGGAGGTACAGACCAATTCTTCCAGTGCCAGAGAAACTCAACCAGGAAAAATAGATGAAAAGTTGGAGTGAAGAACACAGCACAGTGTAGTAGGGTACTGAGTGAAAAGATGAATTCATGGAGAGCTGATTATGGGAGTCAGTCAGACTTACTCCTAAACTCTCGTACACAGGAGAGCATATTTATTTATTTATTTATTTATTTATTGCGGTACGCGGGCCTCTCACTGTTGTGGCCTCTCCCGTCGCGGAGCAGAGGCTCCGGACGCGCAGGCTCAGCGGCCATGGCTCACTGGCCCAGCCGCTCCGCGGCATGTGGGATCTTCCCGGACCGGGGCACGAACCCGTGTCCCTTGCATCGGCAGGGGGACTCTCAACCACTGCGCCACCAGGGAAGCCCAGGAGAGCATATTTAAAAGGTACCAAACAAGGACCTCAGGTTGCTGCTTTGAACAAAAGTTGTTTTACAAGCCTAGCCTCTGAATGCCCCCTCCCAACTCTTTACAATTTTATAGGCCTTCTGCTTCCCACAGGGAAGTAAAAAGGCAGTTCTATTGTTTTTCTTCCCTAACTGACCAAGCAATGCATTGTCTCTGCCTTACTGGCATTAATTTTAATCCCCCTTTCTTGACATGGCATAGAGCACTAGAGTTCTCATGCAATGAAGACAACTGGCCAAAACCCAGAACCTAAACCAGCCCAATTCCATGTTTTGCAAAATCCTCCTAGGTCCTTCAAGAGATCCTTGTCTACTCAAACAGCACTGGAGAGTTGAAAATAAATCTGCTGATCTGCAAAGAAACATGAGGAATGAGCTGTTACACTTGCTTTAGTGACAAATGAGTCACTTAGGGACTTGGGGCACACCTTAAAAGAAGTACAAGACTCCACCCACAGAGTGTGCCTATCTTCTGCGCTTTATCACTGTCCCTTGAAAATACTCTAATACCCTGTGGAAAGGAAAGAGCAGCATGGAGTATAGGAAGTAAAGCGGCGTTATTTGCCTCTCCCCTCTTCCTAAACCAAATCTGCTCGGGTGCCCTACATGCCCTCTGAGGAGATGTAGCAAAGGAAGGAGAAGGGTGCCCCTGAAGAGATTTTTGTCTGCTCAGAAAAGTAAAATTAGATTTAAGACTTGCAGGAAAAACACCAGTAGCTTCCCAACTAATTCCACTTCAAAATATATACAGAAGTATGAGAGTGATATAGTTGTAGTATGAAAAGAATGAGGTAAATGAGATAATGAATGAGGAAGTGGGTATCTACAGAAAGACATCTGTCAAAATTACAACACACACATCCCATCAATTATTTTATACTTTCTCACAATTTACCTATAGGCTCCTTAAAGGGAACTTGTTTGGTTTTTGTTTTGTTTTTTAACCTCCCAACCAAGATTTTAAAACTAGAGCATAACATCTAAGCTAGGATGACTAGCTTATATATATGTATAACATATATATATAGGCTTATATATTAAGTTGGCTTATATATCATTAAACATTATATATGTACAAATTTATTGGGCCAACTGTAACAGTAAATTGGGGTCATTATGATTATGACTAGGTGGGTGTTTTCTGAGGAGCATCCAGTGATAGTCCTAACAGCAGAATGCATGTAGTTTTCAGTATCAAGGTAACCAGCCTTAGAATTGAGAACTTCAGTTGTCTCAACTCAGATATTGAAACAAGATGGATGTGAATATACACACACAGACACACGCATATGCTTTCCAAGTCAAATCCATGACAAGTATGACCAAAGAAATTGTTTCTAATTCTGTATAAGATGATGCTATTATAAGAGCTGGTTTATCAGGTTGACAAATTCTGTTTCCAGGAAGCTAACCAATTCCTGGCATTACTTAATGGATAAGAACTTGTTTGGTAGTTCCAGTGGTGAGAACACACTAGAGGAATGGTTTGGTTCTATCTCTTGAAATCTGGGACAACTGACCCAAGTGAAACAAAGTAATAGAATCTGATGTTGTGTCAAAGTTGCATATATTTCTAGAGGCAAACGGGTTCTTTTTTTAAAAAATAAATTATTTATTTTTGGCTGTGTTGGGCCTTCGTTGCTGTGCGCGAGCTTTCTCTAGTTGCGGCAAGCGGGGGCTACTCTTCGTTGTGGTGTGCAGGCTTCTCACTGCAGTGGCTTCTCTTGTTGCGCAGCATGGGCTCTAGGTGCACAGGCTCAGGAGTTGTGGCACACGGGCTTAGCGTGTGGGATCTTCCCAGAACAGGGCTCGAACCCGTGTCCCCTGCATTGGCAGGGGGATTCCTAACCACTGCACCACCAGGGAAGCCCTGGTTCTTAAACTGATACTTCAAACTGAGGACATGGATAAAGACAGGAAGCAAATCGAGTGGTTCTTTCAGGCATTTCTTCCTGGATTGGAATTTTAACTCAATTATCTGTGCTATTGTACTCTTTCCTTAAAAAATAAAAACAAACAAACAAACCTTTTAAAAACACATAGCAGCTTTCTTAGAGTGCAGCAGTCAGTTATATGGACTTTGGAGTCAGAAAGACCTGGCTTTAAGAGGCCTTAAACAAATTACTTATTCTCCCTAAACCTCAATTTCCTCATCTGTAAAATGGAGATAATAAAAGTATCATTACACAGAGCTGCTGTGAAACTTAAGGGAAAAAACGAACAAACAAAAAACCTTACAAAGTATTCCTCATGGTACCTAACACTTAGTAATGCTGAAAAAAATGCTGGCTATTATTTTTAGTAATGGAGAAAAGGTTAATGTTGAAAAAAATGCTGGCTATTATTATTAGCAATGGAGAAAAGGTTAATGGGAAAAGGTTAATGTTGAAAAAAATGCTGGCTATTATTATTAGCAATGGAGAAAAGGTTAATGGAGGCCACAATCTATCCTAATATTTAATTGTATTTCTGAATTTTTATTATTAATCATTAACAATAACCATTTACTGAATACCTATCATGTATTATACATTAGACAGTTTTGAAAGATACTTTAAGGTATTCAAACTCTAGGGGTAAAAAGACAAAACACACAAATAGAAGGTTACACAAATAAAGACTGAATTAGACAAGAAACAAACCAGAATACATAAACACATGTGTAAAAAAAATTTTTTACAGTGTGAGTAGCAAGAGATTATATAGATGATTTTACAGAATAAAGAGTTTTCCAGAAAAGCAAGCTGTACCAGCTACGCAAGAGAACTTTACAAATAAACTGAGGAGAAGGACATGAAAGCAAGTGAGCGGTGGAGGAAAAGAAGAGGTCAGGGACTGATCCTCAGAGAATAGTAACGCTATCCAGTAGAGTAGGAAGAAGATGTGCTGGCACAGAAGCCTTTAAGAAGACTGGGAAAAAACAAGAATGACACCACAGAAGGTCAGACCAAAGAATAGCAGGGGCAGGCAGAGGCCAGGCAGGTCCAATAGGATAGTAGAGGCAGAAACAATTTTACAGGGAATAGAGAAGCTGGAGATTAAAAGAAAATTGGAAGTAGTGGAAATCAACAATTCATTTATGAACTTTACACGTGAACAAGTTGAGGCAGAGGTAATAGTATGCTATAAGCTTGAAAAGATTTCCGAAGGATGGGGGTGGTCTGACACACTTAAAAGCTACCAGAAAGAAGCACAGAGGAAGAAGTTAACTCTAGAGATTAGGAGGTTAAGGATCTAGGTGTGAGGAATATTCACAGAAAAAGAAAAGAAGCGATCTATAAAACTAGGTTTACAGTTCAGGCTTAAAAAGTGGAAGCGGGCTTCCCTGGTGGCGCAGTGGTTGAGAGTCCGCCTGCCGATGCAGGAGACACGGGTTCGTGCCCCGGTCCGGGAGGATCCCACATGCCGCGGAGCGGCTGGGCCCGTGAGCCATGGTCGCTGAGCTTGCGCGTCCGGAGCCTGGGCCCGTGAGCCATGGCCGCTGAGCTTGCGCGTCCGGAGCCTGTGCTCCGCAACAGGAGAGGCCACAACAGTGAGAGGCAAAAAAAAAAAAAGTGGAAGCTCTTCAGCAGTCTCAAGCAGACAGCTATCCATAATTATCCAGCGGCGTGTACTTTTCCTTCTCCCCATACCCTGACCTAAGGCATGGGGGCTGCCAGGCAACACACTTCTCTCTCGTTAGTCCCAGCAGGAAGTCACTCTTCCAGACTGAGCTATTACTTCTATCTAAAAGCAGGGTCCTAAGGCACTCCCATTTACAAATTCCCTTGGCTTAAAACCCAGAAAAGTTTCCAGAAGCAACATGTCCTTCGATAAACATTGTTGTCCTGCATGATGCCAGACACTCACCCTTTTCCATATATACAACCCCCAAATTTAATCTTTGTTTTCATTTAACAAACTACGTCTTCACCTTGCTCTACCCAACTCTGCCAGATCATCTGATCACACTGCTCACTCAGGAGATCCTGTGCTTCAGGGTGTCTGTGAGTCAGATTTTACTATCTTACTGTTCATGACATGTTACATACTCGCACTGCCTCCACCCTCTCCATACCTGGGCAAACATCATTTCATAGTAAGTATAAGCAAAAAGGTCTGATCCTCAACCCACAAGAAACATTTTTCCTTTTTCCTTCAAGGCACTGGTTGAATCTTCGCTAAATCTCAAAGTCAAATTCTGGTGTTTATTTTTCTGTTTCTGGGATATAACTGCCCTTCAATATTAACTGATGACTTAAAATTTAAAAATACATATTACAAAGTAAGCTATTGCTTCCTCATAAAAATCAATATATCACC